TGATGGAAAATAAGAAGAAAACAACTTTTTCAGTGTTTTATAAAACAAAGAAAGCTCATCGCTTTATAGCTACCAATTACTGTTAAGAATATCAATTTCTCAGGAAAAACAGACTGTAAATCTGAGCAAACCCCTGAAATGAGTTTTAACATTAATCTTTGTTGACTTGATTTAGTTATTACTCATCGATGGGGATTCACTGAACACACTGTAAAAATCATCTGGTTTAGTTGGTGCTTCGGTATAACAGCGACAAAAAACCCAGCTTTCTACATTACAGTTAAAATATGTTAGAAAAAACCTCCAACAATCTAAACGGCTCATTGGACACGAATGGATGCATTGATGCACTTCACTGAGTTTGATAAGATTAACATCAAGCAACTGGTTGGCACGTCAGTTTCACAGATAATGGACAGTTTCCCCCAAACGGTGTATTTGATCAGCAGTGCACATGCCATGATCGAAGAAGCATCATTGCATTTTTAAATAAGCTTATGAGAAAGTATAAAACCTGCTTGTACCATCCCACAACGTTATGCCTGTATGGAAATCCAACCGCTTCATCTGTCCCATATGTAGGCCACCAAAATAAAGTCCTGATAATTTGGCATTGTTTGATAATTGTCTCACTTAGAAGAAACCATCGCTTTGACGACTTGAAAGCAATGTTTTAACTGTACAATCTAACTCCAATCAGTAATGATTCCATCTTATCCCTTGTTAGCATGTTTAGTGTTGTTTTGCAAGACACTTGATCAGAGAAAAGCCTCCCCATAGCATAATTCTACCACCTCCATGTTTTCCAGAGGGGATGTAGGAGCAGAGCTAGAATGGGGGATAGAGGTGGCCATGTGTCGGGTTCATAAAATGTAGGTTTTTGCAGAAGAAGAACTGAAATACACCATTATGGATACGATTTCTGCAGAAAGGAGAGACGGTTGAACCCCAGACTCAAACGCACTGGACCTCCTCCGCAGAGCGTTTATTAACAGAACATGATACATGGTTACAAACAGAGTATTGTTCTGACAGAACAATTGATCAGTTCATAAAGACAGAATGCTCCATCAGAATGACAAGGCAGGATGGTCTCCTGACTGAATCATGAGATAGGAGTGGAGCATCCCCTCGCACAAATGTTTCATAAACACACATTAATTTTATAATCATCATTGAATAAACCTAGCACCATGATTCCTCTAATTTTAATGTCCTAACTATTCTAGCTTTTTAATTATTAGTATATTAACCATTAAACTGGTGAGAGAAACGGAATAATCATAGTTAATTAAAAGGTATAGTGGAGGATTTTTCCAGAAATTTGTGTGAAGGAATCTCCCAATATATACTGTTTTCCGTAAAAGTTTTAAGAAAAACAATCCACTGGACTTGGTTTCCAAGGTTTGAAGACGTTTCGCTTCCCATCCAGGAAGCTTTCTCAATTCCTTCCAGGTATCACCATAACCCCCACCCCATCACAGAGGAACAAAGTACCTCCTCCCATCAGCCAGGTGAACAATCGCTCCTTTAACACCGACTTTTCACAATCTTGCGTCATGTCCGTCTGGCTGCACATCGCGATTCACACTCCATTCCAGTATTTGGTGGTAATGCCCCTCCAGAAACAGAAGAAGAACAACTTCTTCTTCAACTATAAACAACAATCGAAATCTTCTCCACGCAGCATTTTAAATAATGGCATTAAAAAAAAAACAACACAGAACTACAGCAACTTTCTGAATGTGACGGGCGCCGCCATTTTGATTTGCTTGAATCCCTCCTTCTTCGTCTTCTTCTTGTGTTTTATGGCAGTTGGCAAACAACTTTTGGTGCATTACCGCCACCAACTGCTTGATTTCCTCCCTCAATACTGGCAGTAATACTGCAGATCGTCACTAGGAGGCGAGGAGTCGAGGAGCCAAGATAGCGTGATGTGTAAATGGTCGACAGAACCGAGCTCGGCCTGGTTAACTGATCCGAGCTTGGACTGGTCTCGGCATGGATCGGTTTTTCAAGGGTAGCGTAAATGGGGCTATAGACAGGTTTCAGAACGACGACCCGCTCGTCAGTTTCAATTTGCATGTTTCCAAGCAATACAAGGCCTTGTCTAAATAAAGCCTCAAACTCGATGCGAATCCAGACATTTTGAAATGAGAAAGCTTCCTGGATGGGAAGCGAAACGTCTTCAAACCTTGGAAACCAAGTCCAGTGGTTGTTTTTTAAACATTTACGAAATGACTATGACCTGGATGACAGAGAATCTTCACCAGCATATAGTGTTTTTTATTTTCTTTCTGCTGAGACCTTCACCTTTTTTTAAATTTTTTTATTGTAAACGCATAAGGATGTTTGCTTCTTTTGCTTCTTGTGAATCTCTGTGGAGGTGTAGCCAGAACATTTTTATAGGGCTGGTCATGCAGGAACCAATATGCCCTGATGGGTGGCTGAAAGCGGACAGGCGCCAGAACCTCAAGGTCAATCCACTCTGTTCCAACAAGAAAATACAGGAACACATTATCCATATTTTCTTAATAAAGACAAACTATTTTAATCTTTTTCTTCAATATATCTTCACATTTGTGCTGTCTAAGTAAAGGTAAAGTAGATAATCATGATTCAGCTTTAAGTTCTGGGGGGAACATCTTATTTGCTGTTATTTCTTACCAACTTTTCTGGGAAATAAAATGTCCACTATTATCAATAATTGTTCTACATTATATTAATATTAAATATAGAAACACCTCCATTTAATGGATTTAGTTGTTATTCATCTCTGATCCACTAAAGACTCGTAGATGAGTGACAGAGACACATACGTTTCTGTATTTATTATCTTTAATGTTATTATATTTAGTTTAGTTTAGTTTTATTAGGATCCCCATTAGCTGCTAAATAAATGGCCACTAATCTTCCTGGGGTCCTCACATAAAAAAATTACATTACATTTTGAACAAACCATTAAAAAAATTGCACAAGTTGCACATTAGGAAATAATCGGAACATGAAAAAAAGTAGAAATATACAACATAAATACGCAGGTCAGTTCATCATATCATCTGCAGTAGTTCTGAAGACAGTATCATTTTGAAGCTTGTTCTGTTCTGGACTCTTCGTGTGGTTATTGGCAGTTGGTTCCAGTGATAAATGGCTCTATAATACACTGTGGATTTTAGATTTTGTTAGGTTTGTTCTGGGTCGAGGGAGTTTAATGTCTCCACCTAGTGCCCGCCTTGTTAAATAGGACTAAATGTTCAGCAAAAAGTGAAGGCTGTTTTTTAAAGCAAACATTCCATATACATAGGAGAATGCCTCTGCACTCAATTGGATAGACCTACAACCAATAAGAGCAACGGAGTGTGTGACGTATGTTAAGCGACGCATAGTTGTTGTCAACAAAAATCAAAGCGTGCAGTTGCACGCCTAGAATAAGAAGATGAGCCTTGATCGAGTTTCTCTGTTCCTCTTTTAAAATTTATTTGCTGTCGATATCTTGTAGAACAGACCTAGTAGCAGAATCTACTCACCTCAACTCTCCAGCGGCAGCCATTGTTTTTGTCACCCAAGCGCGCTTTGGTCACATGGTTGATTATGTTACTGTTGATCCTCTGTCCATCATCGTATAAAGCCCGCCCTGACAATTTGATTGGATCGCCAGATATTGTGCTAGCATACTCGCGCTACTACTGAGCAATGCCAGACCGAATTTCCCGACCTCAAACGTTGTGGGCGGGACTAAGTTCGGAATGGCACCCAGGCTAAGCCACCGCTGGCCCCCCTTCTAGCTCCACCCCTGAATCTCTGCCATTTTCAAATATATAGTGAGAGCAGCAGAGCTAACGGCTGAAACCAAAGCTAACTGGATAAATACTAGAAGTGCGCATGCACAGCAAGAGCATTTTACAAAGATTGGCATGTGGGGCAACCAATAGATGAGGAGATCCACAGGGAAATTTAAGCTGAAGGAAGATCGTCCCTTAAAACTTTAATTTGGACATTATGGATGTTTAAATAAATAATTTTTTATTAGTTTGGGCTTTAGGAAAGTTTTGTCTGTGTTCTCCTGTCGGTATAGTCTAGTCTGATCACAATGTTTTGAAATAATTCCAAATTTATTTACAAGAGAAGGGAAGGAAGCTGCTGTCTGCTCTTTGTGATCTTTATTTTTTTTATGTATTTTACTGCTAAAAGGAGGAAAATTTACTTTTTCAACTAGAAAATATACATGTTGGAAAAATATGAAAAAAAAATTCATGCTAACCGTGGAGGAGGATTTTGAGTGAGTCAAAAGGTTACAGGGTGAGTTCACGAATCATTTCTATTTAGGGGCCTCTTTCATCCCAGGGAGCTGCTGCTCAGAGTGAGATAGCATGCCAAGAGCTAAGAGGTTCAGTGTGGGTGGAGGTTGAGCCTTAACAGGCTTCTCTGGTGCCTAACAATGCTTTGCAGCTTCAAAAAGTCGAACGTAAAAATCAACGCTTTTGTTTAATTGCTTCTCTGCAGGGATTTTTAGAACCATAAAAGAAACGTAGACTCGTTTTTTTTTTTTTTGCCTGATAATTTTTTTGTCTATATCTCTTATTGTGTTTGGACAATGTGTGTATTTATGAAATTCCAGCTCCTGGTGTCAAATAAAAGGCAATATTTTTTCCCCCTTTTTTCGTATGAAGTTTTAGAAATCTCTGACTGTGTGAGTAATGATTAGGTAAGGATGCAGCTTGTTTTTAAAAAAAGAAAACAATTTATTTGATTGATTCTGCATGTCTTATTTTGTTAAAAAAAAAGAAGCCTTTTGTAGAAAATGGTCCCCGAGGAGTAATTATTAGCTGGAAAGCTCATTTACAGCTTTCCCTGATGTGCCAAAAGAGTAATGAGTGGGAAGCAAATATCAGCAAATCCCAGGAGGAATCAAAGCGGTCATGTTAAGTCTAACTTCTAACTGTAGGGCTGAATATTTTTAATACATGTTTAAATCCTATTGTATGTCTGTGTGCATGTAGGTGCAAACAGATCCAGATCGGGGCGTTGTGAGGAGAGGGCCGGCAGCCAGGAGACCGAGTTGGTTTCGGTGAAAGAGCGGCTGGCGATGTATCAGGCGGCCGTGTCCGGCAAGGAAAGCAGCAGCTCCTCCTCTGCAGTGGTAAGACGATAACTTCCACTTGCATGTAACTGGAGATGGAGCTGCGGATGCAGAGAGCAGCCGGGAAGGATTGGGTCACTTTAAATTTGTCACAAGACTGGAAACTGAGATATTCATCCCATTAGAACTTCCTTATTATTAGATGATATCAATGAAATTAATACATAAAGAATCCGAAAAGTAGGTAGAAATATGCTAGTGTTCAGGCCTGTTAACTTTAATTCCCCTAAATAAACTTCAGAGAAACTTCAAACTTGGCTTAATCAGCAAATATAACCTTCACATTTGTAATTAATTCCCTGTTCCCATATAAAATGCAAAAATGTAGGAGAAGGATTTCTAGTCAGACTAAATGTGAACTCTTTGGCCTAGATCTAAAACAGTTGTAAAATCTAACACTTCATGTAACTCTCGTTCAGGGGCGGATCTAGAAAAATATTTATGGGGTGGCGAAAGGGGGGCAGGAATTTTTGAGGGGTGGCAACATATGGCATTTGTTTACACTGAATTTAATCACAGTTATCACAGTTTGGTGAGAATAGTATGTACAGTAAGGGCCGGATTTATCAAGATCCAATTTTGCGTGCAGGAATTCGCGCTCGCAAACTGGAATTTTGCGCGAGGTGCTGAACCATGGTTTGGGGGTGATTTAACAAGAGTGATTGCGTAACTGGTGGCAGGTGCAAAACTGTTGGAGACGCCCTATTTAAATGATGGTTTTGCACGTTTTGTGGTTTGCGGCAAAGTAGTTTGTAGTATGTACAAACTGGTGCATTAAGAAATGTAAATCTTACAGTGACACCCCCACCCCCTCCAAAAAAAAAAAAAAAAAAATATATATATATATATATATATATATATATATATATATATATATATATATATATATATAAACTTTGGCAACCTTTATTCCCTAAGGTGGTATGTGGCTGAATTTCTACTTCACTGCAGTAAAAAAACAAACAAAACAAAAAAAGGTGTTTTGTATTGGCCTGTAGAAAAATGCACATACCAAATGGCTCACAACGTCGGACAGCACTTCTGAAAAACGAGATTGGGAGATCCCAGCTCTCGCTGCAACCGTACGCTAGAATGACCCAGATGCAAAAAAGTGCAACGTTGCAAGGAGTTCTGTGATATCTGGTATTGCGTGGGTCCTCCTTGTGGCTGGCTCCAAATCCATTCGGAGTTCCCCCAACAGCTCCAAAGTGGCAATGCTGGATAAACGAGATGTTTTGATTATGTTTCCTCGTTCATTCCAAAAATATTCACACGGAGTGAAAAAATGCGTTCTCTGCGTCTCCTTGCTTCATTTCGATGTCTCCTTCTTGCGACAATAACCTCTGCCATGTGTGCGCAATTACGCATACAGACCATTTGCACCTTCTTTTGAAACGTGTTAAATATAGAGTCAGATACCGTTAGCAAAATTGCTTTCAGGTTTAATAAATCACTTAGCGAGTGCTAAATTAATATATTTACATGTTCTCCTCCCACAAGACGCACTTTTGCGTGTAAACGCCCCATATTGCATATTCATTGCAGAAAAAGTACTAAATGGATAAGAGGCGCTATTTAGCACGTTTTAAAGACCAAATCCTTTTAGCACGCTGTTGATAGATCAGTTTGTACATTTTTTAGCGTGCGCAGTGAAATAGCTCACGTTTTTATACACGCAAACCTTTGATAGATCCGGCCCTAAGTGTTTCATGTGAAGCAGTTCATATTAGAAATACATCGTACAATGTGATCTCACTTAATGGGAGATAGAAGAATGATAACACTACTTCTAGAGGGGCATTATCACAGGAAAGGTTTTAAGGTAAGACACAGATGCTGAGTCGCAGATGTGTGAGATTGACTGTCAGAGAGGCAGCATTTGCACAAGAAGAAACTACAGAAAGAAAAAGTTACGCATCAGAGATCTATGGACTGAGCTGTACTAAAGTGATCATAACTACACAGTAGAAATAAATGGGTCAAGGCACCCAAACAAGGTACTGGACATTTATGTATTGTTTACCCTGAACACACATATACCCCATTTGTTCCTCAGTAACTTGACATACAGCAGTTAAGGCAACATGAAAGGGACATTTCATGCATGTAAATATGCTGTAGATAGAGCTGCTGTGTCAACAAATCAACAAAAATGCAGGTAGTGTATGTTACATCAAAATCTCCACAAATCTGAAAAGAAGCAACATAAAAATACATTTTGCTTCCAGTCTGGAAAAAGTACAAAACATTTTGTGAGTAGGTTCATTCAGGTCATTTCTGGATAGTTTCATACTATGTATACAAAAAAAAGAAACAACAACACTGCTTCATATTAAGCAGGATTTACACCAGTATCACATTTTTAACTTTACTTTTAACACTTTTGGTTTTATTAAAGGAAATATCAGATTTTCTCAGGTGCCAAAACAAAATGTAGCAGCTCTGTAAAGGCTCACCAGAGAGCATAACAAAGTTGACATGAATCTGGCGATTTCCATGTTGCTCAGCAAAATGCTTCACACATTTATCTAGATCCAATGCCTTTGTGCGTTTTGATTTGAGTACAACCAAACTTGATAGTCTCTTTTCTGTCATAGTTGACCGCAAATATGTCTTTATGAGCCTGAGACGTCGGGCCTAACTAACATCATAGTTAGACTGCCAACTGGGGTGGCAGCAGGGGTGGCAAGGCTGTCCATTTAGGGTGGCCAACCCAGTAGATCCGCCTATGCTCTCATTATCTACTGTAAAGCACGGTGATGGCAGCATTATACAGTGGGGATGGATGGAGAGGAATCCTAGGCAACATGTTTATGTCGGTCTCTCTTGGCTTTACCAACTAAACTTGCATCGTTGAACACAGTTGGGTAGGTTTTAATTGGTCGGAATTAGATTGAAAGAAAACCAGTTTATGTCATCAACCCATGCAGGACTCAAAGTTCTTTTTTTTTTTACAATAATTTGCCATGGATCCAACCTCATAGCAGGGAGCTATTATGCAATCTGTGGAAGTCTATTGTAGGGCTAATTTTAAGCCCATTTCACACCCACCCATATGGGTCCAACATTGAACTGTTGGCTGGAATACTTTGCAATCTTGAAAAGAAGAATCTTAGAGGCTGTAAAACCCTCATTGGTCCTCCAAGAACAACCGCATTCCTAAAAACTCGAATGGATCAGATCATCATTGGCCGATTTGTGTTGTTCTGTTGCAAAACATTGCTTTAAAATAATTGAAATGTGCAGATGCAATGATAATAGCTGGAAAGTGGAGGGTGACTGGAGACTGAAGTGTTGTAGAGCTCTACATTTTAATGTGTGTAGCAGTTTTCAGCTTTGAGTTTTTTTTTAAATGACAGAAATTCTGTCTTAATTGGGCCATCGTGTGAGTAGCTGTTTGCTTCACTCCCTCATGAGAATCTCGGATTTTCCAAACTCAGATAGCTTTGTCCACAGTCTGCTCCCAATATGCTGCTAACGGTTTAGAAGTACTCCACACCAAAGCGCTTTTAAAAATCTGAACCGTTCCCTTAATGACATGAGGGATTTAGAGAAATTCTGTCTGGCTGTATTTCATCTTATTGGAAGAAAACGTCTGCTGTGTTTATGAGGCTCAGGCATGAATATTGATGAAGCTTAAAAAAAAAAAATAATGAAGCATTCTCAAAACAACATAGATTATTAAACCTTTTTAAACTGTTGCATACATTTTCATCAGTACTCACCAAAAGACATGAATTAATTGAAATATTAGATACTATTTGAGTTGATATATTTCAACAGTGTTTACTTCTGCTGAACATCTCAAAGATTTTTTAGCATAATGTAGCTATAACCCATCCTGTACATCGAGAGGTCTTCAAACGTGAACAAGCAAACAGCAGAAGTCATTTTTTATCATCAAGGATGAGAGACTCGTTCTTAGTGGCCTGGTAGAGATAAAAATGTTCCCCATTAGAGCATCCTGCATCTCTTCATGTGCTGGTGTTTAAGCATTAGTAAAGCATCTATCTGGCCTCATTGGCATGTTTACAGACGTCGACCTTCAACCCTGTTGGAGTCTGTGACCATGAGGCAGTTGCTACAGCCCGTCTCCTGGAGCCTTAAACTATAAAATAACCCTAAATACCTGTTGAAGGGGTCAAACTTACCAGCTGACAGGTTTCTGCTTTAGTATTAGGACATAATAAATACATCAGATTCTCTTTGTCAGATCTGGAGCTTCTAAAGATAGAAAAAGGTTTCCTTTTTGGTAGATTCTACACCGCAAAAATGACCAAGAAATAAGCAAAAATGTTTTCAATTAAGTGTATTTACCCTTAATTTGAGTAGGTTAATAAGATGATTTACCAATGGAATAAGTATTTTTACTCTTAAAATGAGATAATTGCATAATATCCACTTGAAACAAGACAATGTGAGTATTTTTTTTATTTATTTTAAATGTTAATTGTTTTTTTTGTTCCATTGGCAAAGTGTCTCACTTACCTCCTGTATAATAAGGACAAAAGGTGTTCAAAATTTGAAAAAACTTTCATTTAATAGTGTCAGAAATAGTTAACAAAGGCTCAAAAGCAATACAAAATAACTTAAATAATAAATAACATGGATCTGGGCCCAACTTAACTGAGGTCAACTAAGGAACCAACTGACCTCCAAACAGAGAACTAAAGGGATGGAGTAACCCAAGTCTAACACATGAGGGAGGCACGACATGACAAAAAAACCAATAAATACAAAATTAACTAAAGCATTCTATGAAACAAATAAAGCAAAACTAACTTTTACTTAGCAGAAACAATAATAAGTGAGTATTTAAGTGACAAGATTAACTAATTAAAAACAACTTGAAGCAAGTCTCCCCCGTCAGTCTTTCAAAAAAAAAACCCGAATGGTATGCTCCAGGTTTCCTCCTCCAGCTGGTTTGTATCAGCAGCACCTCAAACAAAAAACGTGTAAATAAACCATTCAGACACCCATTAGAAAATACCTGTCCAAAAGAAATAACCAACTTAAACATAAACTGTAATATAATATAAAGCAAGAAAATAATTACTAACACAATGTGGTGGGAGGTTCATCCATCACACCTCCTCAATTAAAAACAAATAACTTATTTATATTTACATTTTTTGTAGTGTCCTCCTGTAATCAATAATATGGGAGTATAGTCTATATTTCTAAAGCTTCATCATCATTTACAGCAATGTTGTGGTGCTGCCTTTAGTAGAGAAGCACCAGTTGAGGCATGGTGGTGGAGGAATGATGATATGGGATTGTTTTACTCCCATAGAAACAGTGCAAAGGTTGAACATTTTCATTAACAAAGCAGATTAAATAAACATCTTTAACAGGAAACTCTTTGATTTGGTAAACTGACCTGTAGGAGGCAGAAATCTGGCTGTGTGGCCATCAAACTGCTATCAGTAGAAGGGGTGGTTTATATGTGGTGTTTTGGTTTTTCAATGTATTTTATAGAAGGTGACTGATCCAAATAGAGATCTGAAATACAATCAATCAAAATAGGATTTTCTTTATAGTAAGAATCGGTTTTATGTGTCTTCTTTATCTGTTCTAGGGGGTTTTGTCTCCATAGTTAGGGCAAAATAAATGAAACTGCGATACTTGAGCCTGGCCAAGGACCAGTTTAGATTCCCTCCTCTGCTGGGCGCCTTGTAGTCATGAGTCAGCCATGAGACTTTCTGTTCTGATATCTGAAACCTGCTCTAATCTGGGTCATAAAACATGATAATGAAAGACCAAATTCCCAGCTTTGCTACAGCCTAGTCAAAGTCCAGCCATCAGCCTGGTTATAATGCCACGTACAGAGGTTTGTCAATTGAAAACGACTAATTGCTAAAAAAAAAAAAAACAATGTAGAAATTCCTTCACAATGGTTTATTTTTAGTAGAAGTCTTTTCAGACAAAGTTAAGTCTGAAATATGCTTTTTCAAGATTGTGGCATCTAGTTAAAAAATTACCGACTCCAAAGGCAGTTTTAGCCATGGTTTACCAGTATCACCTACCAGTTCCTCCTTAAGTGACTCACTGCTTTTTATAAATAGCTGTTGTGCAAAAAGATCTTTTAAATAGCAGCCATAAATCCAGTGCATCTTAAAATACAAACTTAGCCAACAAGCCCCACCCTTCAAAGCATCTTCTAGAAGGACTGGCTGATGAACCCCCGCTGAATTCTGTCCGTGTGGCAGTGCTGAAAACTCCACAGCCGAAGCAGAATGTTGAAGTCTGTAACCTATATGTGTAAAGCTAGTTTTGAAAACAGGAAGGGTCAGACAGAATGAGTATGAGGTCATGGTTTTTACTGAAAACAGCTGAGTCTAAGCTAGGCTTCATTGTAATGTGTGGTGATGGAAACTGTGGGCATGTTATTCCATCTTAATGAATCTGCATTTCTGTCAACATCATGTGTAGAAATAAGGTTGGATTATTTAACCTATTTTATAATTTACTATTCACGTTTCAGGGCTTTTAAAGCGGCTTTCAATTAAGTAGCTATTCTAAGCTAAACCTAAATCATCTCAGTTTTTTTGCCCACTTCTTCTTAATTCCATCCTTTATCCATTTTGGAGGTGATGTTCATGTCTCCCTTTAAAATGTGAGCAATGCAGCAATTCGGGGTTCACGTTTTCACAGAGCTTTTTTTATCCAAATAACTGTTAATATGCTGAAAAGCAACTTTCTCATATATTAAAATTCAGCTCATTGCCTCATTTTAGTATAGTTTATATGCTTTGAAGTGCTGAGGTGCGCCAGACACCCTAACCCAGATGTCAATCAGAGGGCCGTAACCTTATATCAAATTAGCATTGCGGCCTGAATTTCAGCATAGCAGAGCAAATTAGAGAGGATTTATCAGCTACGTTGAAATACGCTGGAAAGAACCCTGACAATTTGTTCCACGATTTTTAAAATAAAGAGTCAAATTTTTTGTTTCACTTTAATCAGATTTAGACATTTATCCACATTTGGTAAAAATACATTTCAAACTGTATAATTTGGGTTAATTTCCCACAATCCTTTGCTGGAATTCTGGCCCATTTGGCAGGAAGATTTATCAAATTTGCGATAAAATTCAAAATGGTAAAATCTCAACTTCAAAATTGAATACGATTTTTTTGTCATGTTACATTCAATGAGAGTAAGACAGGATTCCACACAGGCCTTTAGGGGGCAGTACTACTGCTTCCTAAAGGCAGTTCTAAAGTGGGTTTGCTGCCTTAATGAAATGCATATGAGTTGCAGCTTAGCCATGCATGCAAGCTAGGAGGAAGTATTTTTCCACTTAAGAGTAAAGTCCTGCAGGGCATGTAGGAGGCGCAGTGGTTAGCACGCACGACCCATGTACAGAGTCCTTAACGCGGCCGACCGAGGTTCGCATCCGTCATGTGTTCCTTTGCCCCATGGCTCTTCCCCTTCGCTTACTGTATACCCCCTTTCTTGCCAGCCTACTGTTGAAAAAACAAGCCACCAGTGCCGTAAAAACTCAACAACAAAAAAAAGGACTCTGGACAAAAGAGCATTCAATAATAAGAAGACATTAAAACTGTTTGCTGCTCTGCTTTTATTTTCAACAAGGACTAATTTTAGCTCAGTAAGCTATTCTCTGACTCAAAAACATTCGGATCAAAAGCAAAACCTGCTCAGTTTCTTGCTTTAATTAGACTTCCAACTGCAAAACTTTAGGCTGCAAACTTTATGACGGGAGTGCTCAAGTCCAGCCCTCAAGTGCTACTATCCTGCAACTTTTTGATGCGCCCCATTTTTAACACCCCTGAATCAGATCAGTGGCTCGTTACCATGCCTCTGTTGGGCTAAATGAGAGGATTGAGCCTTTTGATTCAGGTGTGTTAGAGAAGAGATGCATCTAAGGCACACTGCAGGCCTTGATGCTCAATTCAGTTTTTTTTTTTACGTTGCCGTTCACATTTCCAAATACATGTAGCTTGTATGTGATCTCCTGTGTGAACTGCATTCATACAACCTAAGTGTCCCGCATGCACAGTACAGGACGCAATGACGTCACAAACAAGCGTGCTCTGTGTTAACGAAAGTAAACATAGATGGTAGAAAATCTAGCGATCTTTTCCAACCTTAAAAACAAAATCTTTCCAAGATGATTAAACATAAATACGGCACTCTGCATCATCTGCACCATGGTTGTTGTTTTTCTTGCCACTTCTGCGTAGCAAGAAGCTGAAGAGTGAGGTTTGTCGGGTATTAATGGCGTTCAGTTCGGATGAATGCGACTGGGCCGTTCAGACACAGGTCGCATTTGAAAAGATCAGATTCGTATCGGATTCAGGACCACATAGCCAAGTGGCCTGGGTTGCATTGGAAAAAATCGGATCTGTGTTGTTCAGACAGCCATGAAAACATCAGATCCAGGTCGCATATGGGCAAAAAAAATCAGATTTTGGTCACTTCAGGCTGCGGTGTGAACTTAGCCTAAAAGTCACAGGATGGTAGCTCTTGAGGACTGGATTTGAGCACCCCTGCTTTAGGGTATCATTGTTGGCTGTGGTCACTGCCGAAGATAATCAAAATAAAGCCACATTTTAGTTAATTGAAACCGTAATTAAGATTTTTTGGCAAAAGCACACAGACCTAATCCCTCTTGACAGTTTGGGTGTAAACGGGGGAGGTTTATAGGGCGCCTTGCTCACACATACCTTTACAGCTTTGTCCACGAATGCTTCCTGGGACCAATTGGGGCTTTGTTCGCATGTCCTCCAGAAATCATTGGAAAAAGGGCCACTTTTAGACACACTACGGCTGAAATCCAGAACATGGCATTAATCTCCTCTGAGATACTTTTTCCCTTCACTAGTGAAACATCAATAGTGTGACACCCTGCTCTAAAACGTCCTGCTCTGCCTTAATGCACAAATAAAAAAAGGTTTATTTCCTTGTATAAAAGGAGATATATTCATATAGAGCTAAGGCGTTTCATATAAAGTCTCATATGTATTCCACTTTCCTTGCAGCAAAAGCAGAAGCCTTCACATACATCTTTTATCAGGGCTGTAATTGACTTTACCAAAAGGAGATTATTGTATCAAATAGAGTGCATTATTGCCCACGTCTCACAGGGAAAGGATTGCTTCCTCCATACCAAAGCCAACTTCAATTCTTCAACATATTTCCTGGCTGCGAGACCCAACTCTACATGCTCTATAATATGAACTAAAAAGAGCGGTTTGGGAGCATTTTAGGGCTGTAAAAGGAACGATGCATGTGGATAAAGTGCTTCTATTGTTCATTTTAGTTTGAGTTTGTTGCATCAGGTTTTTCGTAATGTCTATCTAGATATCGATCTAGGTAATTGTGAATTAAGTGATTGGTTTATAACATAGCCTCTTTTAAATGAGAACCATCAATAGTGCTGTGAAAAACTAATTACCCCGCAGTGATCTAAAGCCGACCTGAAGGTCCTGCTCTAAATGGCTGAAAATAACTGAGACGTTGGGGGTTGGTTTAGGTAAAATCCAAACTAAAATTTCACGACATGCTTCTTTCAATGATGAAAGTAATTGTCCTTCAATAAGAGTGGGACAGATTCTTCAAAAGTAATAGGGGAAAAAAACACATTACTACTTATTACAATGCTATTAAAAGTTGCACAACCAGATTTTCGGTATATAGAGGGAACTATTCTTTCGTTTTTTGTTTTTGGAACTGGTTTTATTCATTTATTCAGGCTATCCTGGTTTGTTGTTGATATTAAACCTAATTTTGAAACTACCCACTGCTTTTTTAAATAAAACTAAGGCTTTTGGGTTTCAAAGTGTTTTGGGGTTAATTCCTGGTCTGTGTTTTTGCTGACAGGTGATGGATGAGGCTGAGGCCTGCTCCCTGCCTGGTGGTCTGGCCACTGTGAAGAGGCAGTTTGAAAGCCAGGAGTTCACCTCTTCTTCCTCCCAATCGACTGTCACCCAGGTTCATGTTCAGAGGAGATCGGTCCAGGTGAGATATACCGTGTGTGTTTATCAGGACTTCTTTATCTTCTTTTGAAGCCATTCTTTATTAAAGTGAAAGAGTACTTGGACTGACTAAGGTATTAAAAACATATCTTAGCTTTCTACCAATCAGTTTTGAATATTTTCAAACTCTTCTTATGGAATTTTGCACCCAAATTGTATTTACCTCATTATCTGGACTATAGAACGCACCACACTATAGAATAGAAAATCTCTTTATTGTCCCAGAATGGGGGGAAATTCTGGTGTTTACAGCAGCAAAAAGATTATAGAAAAAATTGTCGCTCAAATCTGGTCCTTAAAAATATATATAAGAATAACATACTAGTGAAGATTTAAAAATACTGTACTGTAAAGTGGTTTAACTACTCTATGGACATTTTTACAGTAATGGATATTTGAAAATAGCAGCGACATCAGAGATGTGCAAAATGAAAGCAGCAGGTTATTTAACTGACTAAGGTAGAAACTGTGCAAAATCAGCATGAATGGAACAACTAATTGATGTTTTTGGGAACAGTGGTATTTATAAAGTCTTCCAGCTGCTGGGAAAGGATGAAGGAGGAAGGATCTGTGATAATGCTCCCTGGTGCATTTAAGGTGCAGCAGGCTGTCACTGAAGGAGCTCTCCAGTTCTGAAACAGCTTCATGCATGGGGTGGGAGAAATTATCCAACAGAAATGTTAATTTAGTTAGGATCCTTTTGTTTCCCACCTCCTGCACCAAGTCCAGAGGTCATCCAATCATAGAGCTGGCCTTCCTCATCAGCTAATCCAGCCGCTTTCTCTCAGCAACAGATAAGCCACTGCTGCAACAGACAGCTCCATAGAAGATGGCTGATGCCACAACAGAGTCATAGCGGCTCAGTGCTGTGAGTCCAGTCCAGCTTGTTATTCAGATGAACACCAAGACAAGTTATGTCTGTTTTCTAGCTTCAGCTCCTGCCGAAACTTGATAAACGGCTGGTCATCACCAAGAACGACGCTAGGCACAACTCAAATCCTTTTCCATTGTGTTTTTATTTGGGATCTAGGTTTGGGATTTCGGTTTTCAAACAAATTGACAAACAGAAGTGTATTAGTTCAAAACAAACCATTTTAAATCAAACATTTTTACTGTGGCTCACCCATAAGCACAATACAAACTGAATATTACCAGGCCACAAGCCATACTACAGTATTCTCTCACTCAGCTTCTATCTTTTAATAAAGTTGTGTATCTGGTGATTAGATAATGAGCTGAAACCTGCTTGGCTGGGAGCCAGTCTCTTCCTTTGTCTGCCAAAACTGCCACACAGGGTCGTGCAGGTGTTTCAATGACAGGAAGTCCCAACCCCCCAACACAAGCTCACTCCTCTTTTCTCCTACCCTTCTTCTTTTTTGACACGACAGTACTTATCAGAGTCCACTCTCTCAAAGTCTGTTCCCTGGATGTTCACCGGTGTCAGAGGGCTGGATCTGCTTCTGCGAACTCCTTGGTTTTCCCTGCATTAATCAGAAGGTTTATTTACCATACATATTAGCTGCATTGGGCTATAAGCCACTGATATCTACTGAACTGTCTTCCATGTTAGTTTGTTTGCTTACAGCAGTTAGAGCTTCTACTGGAAGATGGGGCTTAATCAGCTCTTTATTTCAGCTCTGCAGAAGTTAAGCCCAGTCTCTTCATTGGTTCCACAGATTTCGGGATATTTGTTCTCCATCCTGTTTGCTAGTACAAATTTCCTATACTAAATGAAAATTATCCCTTTATTCTTTCATTTCCAACTTTGACTTCCCCATCTGGCGGTTAGGAAAAATCCACAGAAAAATTGCACCTTCTTATAAGCCGCATGGTTCAAAACGTAGCGGCTTATGTTGCGAAAAATACGGTATATTCTGGGCGCTTATGGCCTTATTTCCTGGTCTTTGCATGAGTACAACCTTTATACCCGGACACAGTTTCATCCTTTTTTGCTTCTTTCCAAACTGTGGATTTAGAATTTATATGAAAAATCACAGACGGTTTGTTTAAGGACAGACAAACCTTATTTCATATTCACTGTAATTAATGTCATTTATCTATTCAAATAGAGGGAATGCTTCATTTGAAAAAAATATTATAGACATATAAAGAATTTTATAGATGTGCACTCTATTTCTGCCTGTTTGATTTAAATTTGTTTTTCATTTAGATGGTTTTTCTATTCTTTACTTTGCAAAAACCCAACCTTTTTACTAAGCCTTAGTCCTCATATGTGATATAAGGATTATTAGGATTCACAGACTCCGTTTCCATAAACAGTAAATAGTTTATTGTTGATTGCAAGTAAGAGTGAGATATTTTTCTTTCTCCTCTTTCAAGTCAAGAAAACCAGGAAGAGAGAATAACTGCTCTCCTTTCTTGTCATGAGCTCTGAGTGAAATGACAGGGATATGAATGATTTACATTCAACTGTAGCTCTTTATTGCTAAATCTTGGCAGAGGCCTTCCAGCAGGTCAGCTCAAAGAGGGCACCTTGAACTTAGCCCGTCTGTGTGAATCTGTCATCTTGCGCGTGAGGAAAATGCCAGAACGCGTTAGCAGCAGCCTTGGACTCCTGCCAGATTTTTTTTTTTTTTTTTGGAGTGAGGTCAGTTCCACCCCGCCTCACATTTCCATCAATTTGCTTATTCAGGCAGAGAAGCAGACTGGATTCATCCAGTGTAAAAAAAACCTAGCTGAATCTGGAATTTTACATCAGGGTTCAGAAGAGGAAACGTCCAAACGCGTTTGATCAGTTCTGTGCTTCTTTCACAGCTACTGGAAGTGCCTTTCCACAGGTGGATAATGCAAACCGTGTTCCACATCAGGATAGATATTAACGGGCTGCCCTTGGTTTGAGAAGAACAAGCACCCCCACCCTCCATGTATCTTTCATGTTAACAGCATTCATACAAGCTGAAATACATTTCTCTCTCAACTCCTTCGAATTGCAGGAATCTCAGAGGAGGAAATGCCTGATTCGGTTTTGTGCGTTTTTTTGTAATCGACTGCTGTTTCTCTCCAGCACTGAAATCCTCCTTTGGCAGAATTCAAACTTAGCGGCTCCCTTGGAAGCGGCACAGTAATGGAAAAACATTTGTTACCAGCCGCAGAAGGGATTTTATTAAGCTTCTCCACAATACAAAAATGACTTACCCGCCCACTGTTTCTTACAGCTCGCTGTCAGGAGGAGGTAAAACATCGTTGGTTGCTTTTGTGTGCATAGTTCTCTGTCAGAACAACCTTTCTGCTGCATTTTACTGAACATCTCCTCCCTTCTGATACCTGGTTCACCTTACTTCTATAATTTTATACGAATCAGTAGTGTTGATTGGGCTTACATTTCAATTCTCCTAACCCATTTAATCTCCTCCAAACAGTTATAAACTAATCCCCAAAACAATCAGTTTTTTTTTATTAATTTCACTGCACAGAAACTCCTTAACTAGAATTTTATCTTACATTTTAATGTCACCTAAAAGACAACGCAGGTCTATCTAGCGGAGTTCCCCAAAGATGTGTTGTGGGCCCCTTTTTTTTTTTACTTAATTTTATATATTTCACCTAAACAGATTATATGGCACCACCTTTATGTCTGCTCAGTTTCAACATCCAGTTTAATGTAATTTAAGCAATATTCAAAATAGTCCAATTAAAAATAAATTTAATCACTTAAGGAAAGTATCTAAATTATTGATGTCTTTACCTTGACTGAAGGTGATTATCAACTATTTTCCCTTCCATCAGGTTCATATTTTAGTAAATAATTTTGCTAGGATTTTAATTGGAACAAATTACAAAGCCAATATCAATTCCATCATATTTGCTCCCCTGAACTGTGATTTCCAGTTGGATAGAACGCATTTCTGGGTGACTCAGCCTTATGTCTCCACCTTCGCTCCCAGGTTGCTGACTTCCTTGGGTTAGAATTAAACAACCTTCTTCTTAAATCTTGAATTAAATCATTTGAAGATCTCAAAAAGCTACAATTATTACTACATTTTTTATTTTCTTAAATAAATAGGTTTTTAATCCCAGGTTAATATTTATATGTGATGACCAGGCTCGGACTGGTAATCTGTGATACGGCTAGTCCTAATTTCAGTGTGCGAGGGCCGGCCCTCCTTAAATTATACCGGCCCCAACACTTACTCTCCGGCCAAAGCACCTACAAAAAACAGTAAATAACTCAAGGAGCTCAAGAATTATTCCAATGTTAACTACCTGAATGATGCATGCAGTATATATAGCCCTTCCTTGTCATGCACATCCTTGTGACGGTTGGCATATGGTGTAATTTTCTATTTCTTCAAACTGTAAAATCCTTGCAACGAACTAAATTATAATAAAACTAAAGTGCTTTCTTTAAACCAAACTACGATGTTCCTCGTATATTTGGTGAATTTATGTTTGAATATTTTGCTAAAATACGTTGCAGTGCATGATGGGGTTTTGCATCTAAAGGCTAACGTTTCCCGTCTTACCTGCATTGTTGCCAGGTTGGGATGTTTCCCAATCTGGCAGTTTAGAATGGCCGTTTATGGGTAAAATATGTTTTTTCTTTAGATTTATAGATTAGATTTTTTTTTTACATCTGGCAACCCTGCTGATGTAGTGAGTGTGGACGTTACACAGCAGCAGTCACTGTCACGTCCATGTTAATAACCAAAGCCAGTAAAGCCGCATTATAGAAGTCTTGATGATGGTTGTCATGTGATGCTTGAAGATAGGTCGGTTAATCCACAATGTGTATTCGTATTCACATTTGAGACGTACGCGTTTACCTGTGCTTTTATTTTTATTTCTTCTTTTGGGTGGCGGGGGTTTAGATGGGCCGGTGTAGATGGAAAAAAGCCGAAAATTGTTCCCAGACCGAGCTTGGTGATGTCCATCAGATTCAATATGAACAGTTCATGAACCCTCCCACGCAGACTGACGATGTAGATCTCACACAACAGGGTTATATTTACAGCAGGAATGTTATACAGTTATGAAGTTATTGAGCTGTTGGAACCAAAATAATATCACGATCACATTATAACGATATAAAAACGTAAGTTAAACCAATTCAATTCAATTTCAATTCAGTTTATTTATATAGCGCCAAATTCACAACACATGTCATCTCAAGGCACTTTACAGTTCAACCAGATCATACAGTCAAATTGATACAAAGTTTTCTATCTAAGGAAAACCAGTTGATTGCATCGACTCATTGACTCGAATGCAATCCCTCACACTAAGCATGCTTGTAGCGACAGTGGAGAGGAAAAACTCCCCTTTAACAGGAAGAAACCTCCAGCAGAACCAGGCTCAGTGTGAGCGGCCATCTGCTGAGGCCGACTGGGGTTCAAGGAGACAGAAGCAGAGACGAACCAGAGAACAACGATTACCAGTGTTACTTTGTGGAATAGATACTGCAGGGATGTGCAGTCATTTGGGCAAGGATGTGTCAGATAAAAGCAACATGAATGTTCAGTCTGCTCTGAAAACTACAGGATATATGTCTCATTAGATACAAATATTGAAGAGGCAGAATTCTGGTTTTCTTAGAAGAGAAAATATCTGAATCAAGCTGTTCAGACCACCTTAAAAAAAAAAATCAAATATTGGTTGTATATAGTCATAACAATGTGGCTTAGGCTGCATCAGCTCAAACGACAACAGCTAAAACTCTCTATGTCCGACTTTTTCCAGTTTTCGTCAGTTTTCAAGACTCAAAAATAAGAGGCAAAAAAAATAAAAAATCTGAAAGTTCCAATGGTTAAAAGCATCCTTTTCGTCCTATAAGGCGGACATTAGGTTTAAAACTCTTTTACTCATATTGTTTACTTTCCTCCATGTGTGGTCACCGTAGGAACTGGTCCAGTTGATCCTTTTTCTTTGTATTCAACAGGAAATATCCAGCTCCTCAGAGGTGACGGTTAAAAGCAGCTCCAGAGATTCAATCCCGGCAACAGGTTTTTCTCGACAAGAGGTATTTGTTAGAAGATATATCTACATCACTAAAACCTACATCCCTTTAAAGATTATTATGATATGAACATAAACCTTAACCATTCATGCCTGACTGATTGGAAACAGGCTGAAGTTTTAATGATTTGCTGTCATCCCTTCCCAGGTGATCCATGATCAAGGAGTCCACCATAACAATGTGGCTGCCGGTTATGGGACCCATTACAATGAAACAGGTTATTCTGCTCATGCCTTTTATATTGTAATTTGGGGCGTTTTTTATCGCGGCGCTGCCTGTGGTCCTGTATGTTAATGACCGTTCCACTCTCCGGGTTGAATAAGGGATGAGCTCCCAAAGCAAGTCGGAGTGCAGATGATTCTCTATTCAGTGCATGGGAGCAAATCTAATCAGGGCAAAGCCAGGGAGGTAAAATATTGGAATTTGGAAATTGGGCAATCACTGCAGCATAGTTTCAGAAAATGAAAACTACTCAGGTTTTTAATGAAATGATTTATTTCTCTTCCCCATTCCCGTGAGCCTCCTCAATTCGAATGACTTAATGAGGCTGCCTTCTTCTTATGTCTAATTCAGTTACGCTTGTCGGCGGAGAGGACCTACCAAAGGTTTCCACTCAGGCTTTGAAGCAACAGTATGAAAAAACGATTGAGGGAGCAGCACCAGCGAAGGAAATCAAGGTAATGATCATGTCTTTTTATTTAAGCCGATCATACTTTTCCTTTTTTCTTTGGGAATCCACATATAGATGAAGTTAGTTCACTAAATGATCTAAAGTAAATTGGACTGATTCAATTATTTCTGATAGAGAACATGAAGCTCTCTTTACCCCTGTTTAAAGTAGAATCTTTCAAAGCATTGAAACAAAAGTAACTGGTCTCAACAAATTGTAAATGTGTAAAAATTACAGGAAAAAATAAACACAAACCTCTATGATTCAGAATGCTAATGTATTTCATTGGGATTTTATGTGATAAACAGAAAGAAGTACCTGGTCCTGGTCATGGGCTTGAACTTTTGACATCAGCAACTGGATTTAAGTTCCCCAGAATGAATATGGATATAGAAAAGTTGAAATTAGACATATTTGTTTGAAAGCAATTTTCCACTAAATTAAAACTGAATCGAATGATGATGATGAAACTGAATAAAATGTTATTTTAGGCCTCTTCAATTCCAGCACTCAAGGTCCAGTGTCCGGCACATTTTAGATATGTCTCTACTTCCACACCTGAATCAACTATATGAGATAACCGCATTACCTCCTTAGCAGGCAGCCAGGTTCTGCATAGTCCTGCTAATCACTTCATTATTCGACTCAGGTGTGATGAAGCAGAGACACGTCTAAGGCTACGTTCACACTGCAGGCCTTGATGCTCAATTCCGATTTTTTTTTGTGAAATCCGATTTTTTTGCGTTGCCGTTCACATTTCCAAATGTATGCGACTTGTATGTGATCTCCTGTGTGAACTGCAGTCATACAACGCAAGTGTCCCGCATGCCAGTAGAGGATGCAATGACATCACAGGCCAGCGTGCTCTGTGTTTATGGAAGTAAACATGGATGGTAGCTCTGGTGTGCATCTAGCGATCTTTCCCAACCATAAAAAGTCGATCTTTCCAAGATGGTTAAACATACATATTACTCTCCGCATTATCGTCGACCATGGTTGTTTTTCTTCCCACTTCTGCATAGCAAGAAGCAAAATAGTGACCTTTGTCGGGTATTAATGGCATTCAGGTAAGATGAATGCGACCTGGCCGTTCACACGCAGGTCGCATTTGAAAAGATTAGATTCGTATCGAATTCATGACCACATAGACAAGCGGCCTGGGTTGGATTTGAAAAAATCGGATATGTGTTCTTCGGACAGCCATGAAAAGTTCAGAACCAGTTTGCATATGGGCCCAAAAAAATCGGATTTGGGTCACTTCAGGCTGCGGTTTGAACGTAGCCAAACGGGTGGATGAACACCAGACCTCGAGGGCTTGAACCAAAGAAGCCTGCTTTATCTAATCATTTGAAACTAAACTAATTTGCTATTAAACTGTATTATATTTAATTAGAAATCCCACTTTCCTGGAATTCAATTTCAGTTCTAGTATTCTGATTTCCTTGTGCCACACATCACAGTCAGAGCCACATACCTAACCTCAACATCTGCAAAACACAAATCTGTGCTCCATTACTCTGGTCTCTCTTAAGGAACCAGATGTCTATCTAGGGCTGGGCGATATAGAAAAAAAGCTTATCAATAAAAGAAAATGCATATTGATCGATATCGATAATTATTGAAAAGATTTGAAACCATATTTTATGTGCAGCTCTGCCTGGACATTTTATGATATTGCTAAATGATTTAATTTTAATAAAGAACACAAACACAGACTTCCAATTAAATCTGTATTTAACCAACTTTTTTAACCATAACAGAATTGTTTTAAAGAAAAACAACTTAAGAGACATGAGTTATGTTATTAAATACTGACAAAGAATAAACTAAAGTGACCAAAAAAGTGACCAAAATAAATATAACAAATAAATGGAACACACGTCTATCGATCGATATATATCGTTATTGAATTATCGCCCAGCCCTATGTCTATCCGTCTTCTCCTGTTTATTCAATCAGGGTTGCAGTAGGGCCACTGCCTAACTCTGGCATTATATGGGCGAGAGGTGGGGTAAACCCTGAACATGTTGCCAGTCTGTCGCCGGTTTTACATACAGTTTGCACATTAATAAATAACTTTCATTGGAGTGAAGTTCAGTTACAAACCAATACATTAGATTTTGAATTTTCAATTCAAATTCAGTTTCTGATCGCATACGTTTCTGCTCATAGAAGATTGTTGTAGGGTTTTATGGTACTATATTTTTTGTCAATGAGCTGATTTGTAGAAACTGTTTATCAGAAATGGTGAGATGTTTCCTCAACCCAATTTTTTGGAAAATAGGCTTTGTGTAAACTCTGCAATTCCAGTCTTAATTTCAACTAGATATGCTTGACCATAGATATATAAAACTTTCTTTATACTTTTTCTTTTTTATTGAAACCGAATCCCAACGTTTATTTATATAAGACTGATCTTTTGATCATATTGTACAGATGTATGCAAGGGTTACTTGTTTCCATGTAGAAAATTAGTCCACTAAGATATATTACAATGTATTTTAATCTATATTTTAAATTATTTTAATTCCAACCGTAGTCAGCACATCTGTAAAGATGCCTTATTACTGAATTTAAGTCTAATTTTTAACTTGTACCTATTTGAGTTCTCTTAAAATCCCCAGGTTGGGAACCTTTGATGTAAAACAATTCACTGTAGCTCTCAAATGTTTAGTGCCTTCTTACCTTTAGATGAGTTTATTTGGGAAAAGTTTTGAGAACTTTTCCTTTGTAGTGATTTATTTTATATTTGTACTTTATTTTCATATGTTGTATCATATAAAATCCCTCTAAAATATATTAATGTTTTTAAACATGTCAAATTTTAGTAAGTTGGGTAAAAAAAAAAAAAAATTATTGAATATAAAGGACTATATTGATGTCTTGCTTACTGGTTTCCAAATTGTGTATCAGCTTATACAGGTGCTGGTCATAAAATTAGAATATCATGAAAAAGTAGATTGATTTCAGTAATTCCATTTAAAAAGTGAAACTTGTATATTATATTCATACATTACATACAAACTCATATATTTCAGATGTTTATTTTGTTTAATTTTGATGATTACAAATGACAACAAATGAAAATCTCAAATTCATCATATCAGAAAATTAGAATATTACTGAAGACCAATAAAAACAAAGGATTTATAGAAATGTTGGCCAACTGAAAAGTATGAACATGAAAAGTATGAGCATGTACAGCACTCAGTATTTAGTTGGGCCTCCTTTGGCCTGTATTACTGCAGCAATGCGGCGTGGCATGGAGTCGATCAGTCTGTGGCACTGCTCAGGTGTTATGATAGCCCAGGTTGCTCTAATAGTGGCTTTTAGCTCTTCTGAATTGTTGGGTCTGGTGTATTGCATCTTCTTCTTCACAATACCCCATAGATTTTCTATGGGGTTAAGGTCAGGAGAGTTTGCTGGCCAATTAAGAACAGGGATACCATGGTCCTTCAACCAGGTACTGGTAGCTTTGGCACTGTGTGCAGGTGCCAAGTCCTGTTGGAAAATGAAATCTGCATCTCCAAAAAGTTGGTCAGCTGCAGGAAGCATGAAGTGCTCTAAAACTTCCTGGTATGTGGCTGCGTTGACCCTGGACCTCAGAAAACACAATGGACCAACACCAGCAGATGACATGGCACCCCAAACCATCACTGACTGTGGAAACTTTACACTGGACTTCAAGCAACGTGGATGAAGTGCCTCTCTTCTTTTCCTCCAGACTCTGGGACCTTGATTTCCAAAGGAAATGCAAAATTTACTTTCATCAGAGAACATGACTTTGGACCACTCACCAGCAGTCCAGTCCTGTTTCTCTTTAGCCCAGGCAAGACGCTTCTGACGCTGTCTGTGGTTCAAGAGTGGCTTGACACAAGGAATGCGACAGCAGAAACCCATGTCTTTCATACGTCTGTGTGTGGTGGTTCTTGAAGCACTCACTCCAGCTGCAGTCCACTCTTTGTGAATCTCCCCCACATTTTTGAATGGGTTTTGTTTCACAATCCTCTCCAGGGTGCGGTTATCTCTCTTGCTTGTACACTTTTTTCGACCACATCTTTTCCTTCCCTTCGCCTCTCTATTAATGTGCTTGGACACTGAGCTCTGTGAACAGCCAGCCTCTTTAGCGATGACCTTTTGTGTCTTGCCCTCCTTGTGCAAGGTGTCGATGGTCGTCTTTTGGACAACTGTCAAGTCAGCAGTCTTCCCCATGATTGTGTAGCCTATAGAACTAGACTGAAAGACCATTTAAAGGCTTTTGCAGGTGGTTTGAGTTAATTAGCTGATTAGAGTGTGGCACCAGGGGCCATCAATTTTGAACCTTTTCACAATATTCTAATTTTCTGATATGATGAATTTGAGATTTTCATTTGTTGTCATTTGTAATCATCAAAATTAAACAAAATAAACATCTGAAATATATGAGTTTGTATGTAATGTATGAATATAATATACAAGTTTCACTTTTTAAATGGAATTACTGAAATCAATCTACTTTTTCATGATATTCTAATTTTATGACCAGCACCTGTATTTAGTTGTTTTCTCTCTGTTCTCTCTGTTATGTCACTTGAGAAATCTTCTCTAATTTTCCTATTCTTCTACTTTCCCCTCTTTCCATTAATGAAATAATTAATGAACCACAGGTAGATGTTGATTTCAACCAGTTTCAGTGGGCGCCAGGAAACCAGTCATCCAAAACTTCAACTGTAACAAGTTATGATTCATCTTCCACTGTAAAAGCTGCTTCTGCAGTTGCATCAAGCTCATCAGTGGCCTTTAAGGCAACAGAACAATTTCCTCCACCACCCGAAAACCTGGTGCAGGTAACACAAGAACATAACATCTCTCCCCAGTCCAAAAAGACAGGCTCTCAACAAAAGGTTATCCATGATAAGAAACAGTACTTCAAACACAAGAGCATGGCCGAGCTGAAGCGCCTCTACAAGCACATACATCCAGAAGTGCGCAAGAACCTGGAGGAAGACTTTATGAGTCAACTTACAGAGGCAGAGAAAGCGGCGTTGGAAAGCATGGAAATAGTAGGAGACGTCCAGCAGACATGTCATATGTTTGAAAATGATGGCAGCAGCTCCAGTGGATGCTCAAGCCCTGATAGAGAATACCTTGAGTGGGAGGAAATCCTTAAAGGGGAAGTGCAGTCAATGCGTTGGATGTTTGAAAATAAGCCACTTGATGCAATTAAAGATGACTCCCCAGATGAAAGTGAGGAGAAGAATATTACCCAGCAGGAAATCATAGCAGGCAAAGATGTTAGATACACAGCTTGGATGTTTGAGACTCAACCTATGGACGCCCTGGGGGCTGAGACTGAGAATGCAAGCCAAGAATCAGAGAAACAGACTGATCTCGCACGAGGGGATGTCCGCACTGCAACCTGGCTTTTCGAAACCCAGCCACTGGATTGCCTAAATAGGATCCACCAAGAAGAACACGAGAATGAGAGTGTTGTCACCAAAGAAATCTCTGGCGGAGATGTGAAAACTGCCAGGTACCTCTTTGAGACCCAACATTTAGATTCTCTGGGTAAAACAGAAACCATCGAAGAGAGTTACTTCCTGAACTTGAAGTCTGAGCTTGAAGAGATAAAGGGGGATGTGAAGACAACCACTCGTATGTTCGAGACACAGCCTATGTGTGTCATCAGGGGGGACTCTGGTGAAATGCTGGAAATTACCACCATCCGCCGGGAGGAAACTGAGAAAGGAGATGTGACGACATCTCGATGGATGTTTGAGACCCAGCCTCTGGATATGATAAACAAAGATCCTGCTAAAGTAAAGTTGATATGTGGCATTTCCATGGAGGACAACATTCAAGGTGGAGTGAACAAAGGCAGGTGGCTTTTCGAGACAAAGACTCTTGATACCATTAAGGATGAGGAATGGGAGATCTCCAAATATCAGAGGGAGCAAATAATTGGAGCAGATGTTAAGAGACATTGTCTTGTTTTTGAAACACAGCCAATGGATACTCTGAAAGACAATGCCAATGCCCGACCTTTGACCCCAGAGCAGATTGTAGGTGGAGATGTGCAATCAACCAAACATCGATTTGAAACGGTACCTATGGAAAATTTAAAAGAGCTCCCTGAAGTAGGTAAACTTAAGAAAATGATTGCTTCTGAGGAAGAGAAGGGTGATGTGAGGCATCAAAGATGGGTTTTTGAAAGCCAGCCGCTGGAGAGCATACAGGAGGAAAAGAAGGAGATAACAAGAACTGTGAACATCGAAGCCCATGACAAAGTAGATGTGACAAACTTCAAAGAGATCTTTGAAACTTTAGATTTGAGTAAATGTGAAGGATCACAGAAAATTCAAGTAGAAGGCGTCCCAAGTGGATCAGTTAAATCCAACAGAGTCCTGTTTGAAACCACTCCAATGTATGCAATGCAGGACAGCTCGGGTCACTACCATGAGGTAAGGACAGTGAGGCGTGAAGAAATTGTGAAGGGAGATGTGCGCAGCTGCAGGTGGATGTTCGAAACTCGCCCGATTGACGAGTTTGACGAAAGCATTAATAAATTCCAGATCATAAAAGGGATTTCCAAGCAAGAGATTGAGTCAGGAGATGTCAAAACAGCCAAGTGGTTGTTTGAAACACAGCCTCTGGATGCTATAAAATATTTCAGTAACTTTGAGGATGAAGAAAATAAGACAAAGGAAAATATTAAAATTGAAAAGGGGGATGTCAAAACTTGTAGGTGGCTGTTTGAGACCCAACCGATGGATGTTCTGTATGAAAAGGTAGAAAAGAGTGAAGCAGAGGTGGAGGCAATGCAAAAAGGTGATGTGAAAACATGCACTTGGCTCTTTGAGACCCAAACGCTCGACAACATTCGGGATCACACCGAGTCAGAAACGGAGACAATTATAAAGACCTGCACAGTAAAGCAAGAGGACATTCAAGGGAAGGACGTGAAGATGGCTCGATTTCTGTTTGAAACAGAGAATCTTGAAAACATCACAGGTGAGGACAATAGTTCTTTTAGGAGGGTCACTGAGATCAACATCCAGTCTGGAGATGTTTCCAGGATGAAGTACATCTTTGAAAATCGCTCTTCTGATATAATGAGCTCTACGTCAGAAGAAACTATGCTAAAGCTGAAGAAGCAGCAGGCTGAGGACATTCAAAAAGGAAATGTGGGCAACTGTACCTGGATGTTTGAGAACCAGCCAATGGATGCCATCTGTGACGACAGCACAAAGACGAGGGAGATTCGGACTATAACAGATGTTAAGGGAGGCGACGTTGACAAGGGCCGCTTCATTTTTGAGACATACTCTCTGGATCAAATCAAAGATGAGTCCACCGAGACAAATATTTCAACATTCTCTAATATATTTGGAGATGAAATTGTAAAAGGAGATGTGAAAAATTACACAATGATGTTTGAAACTCAGCCACTATATGCCATTCGTGATAAGGAGGGCCACTATCATGAGGTGACAACTGTAACTAAAGAGGAAATCATGAGGGGAGATGTGGTGGGGGCTCGGTGGCTGTTTGAGACAAAACCCTTGGATTCAATTAGAGATTCAGAGGAGGTCTATATTATCAAAGCTGTGACTGAAGAAGGCATTAATAAAGGAGATGTAACCTCTGCTCGGTGGAAATTTGAAACTCAACCTCTAGATGAAATTACAGAGGAAATAAAAGTCAGATCAAAAACAGTTGCAGATATCCAAGGGGGTGATGTAAAGACAAACAAACAACGATTTGAGACAGATGAGTTGTCCAAAAAGTACATCAGAACTGTAAGTGTGAGTGAAATTCAGAAGGGCGACGTCAGATCTGCGACTTGGATGTTTGAAACCCGCACAATCGATGAGATCCGCAGTGATAGTGAAGAGTATGATGCAATGGAGAGAGTGACAAAGGAGGAAGTGATGAAAGGGGATGTTAAACAGTCTGTGTGGCTCTTTGAGAGGCATCCCCTAGACAGAATCAAAGAGACTGATGGCACAGAGCCTGCTGTGGTTAAAGAGCAAATCCCACAAGCAGATGTGAAGACAACTACATGGCTGTTTGAAACCACTCCATTTCATGAATTCAATGAAAGCAGTGTGGAAAAGACAGAGATAATTGGAAAGAGTATCACGGAGACACTTCAAGAACTTTACTGCCAAAAAATGGTTGACTCCCAGGGTATTCTAATTGAGGCAGATGAAATCGGTGATGTACGCATGGCAAAGTACAAACTCATGAACCAGGAGGTTCCACAAATCCAAAAGGAGGATATCATTAGAGGAGATTTGAGTAATATAATGATGAACCTTCTGAATCGCACAGACACAGTTGAAAGAGTTATAACTATTGATAAAGAGGAACGAGGAGATATCAACAACACAGTGAAACAGCTGTTCCAGGAGAAAGGAACAAGTGTTCAAAAAGAGGTAGTTATCCGTGGTGATATTCAAGAGGCAATTAACAACCTGCTCAAGAAAGAAGGTTCCTCCAAGCGTGGCATTCTTATTCAAGAAGATGAGAAAGGAGATGTTAAGATGACTATCTATTCTCTACTTAATAAAGAGGAGCAGTCTAGTATGGCGAAAGAGGATATAATTCAAGGGAATGTCAGCAAAACTCTTCACCGTCTTCTGTCAAACTCAGGAGAAGAGGACTCTAAAAAGATAAGAATTGGGGAGACGGAAAGGGGTAATGTCAGCTTTTATACAACATGCATTGAGTCTGGAGCCCTTGACTACCTCAAACAGCTTAAGTCTGAATCTGAAGAGGTTCATGAAGAGGTGCAAAAGGAGAGCATCATTGGCGGGGACATTGAGGAGACCAAACTGTTGTTGCGAAGAAGTCAGCAGCAGATTGGTCGCACGGTGGCAGAAGATGACATAGTACCAGGTGATGTTCACAGCATTGTTAAAGTGTTTATGACAGAGCCCACTGAGGCCTATAAAAACTTGGAGGAAAAGGACATTGTAAAAGGCGATCTCACTGCGGCTCTTGATTTATTGACTCAAGCCATCAATCAAAAAGTGGTAGTTGAAAAAGAGGAGGTAGTTAAGGGGGATATTCCTAACACTTTGAAATCTCTTGAGGAGGCCAAAACTCAAGCCAAGGAAATGGAAAAGCCTGAAATCATCAAGGGTAACATAAGAGGTGCTCTTGAATCACTGGAGAAATCTTCCACCTCGAAAACAGAAGCAACTGTTGATGATTTAGTTCCTGGTGATGTCAAAGGTACTCTGAAATGCCTAGAGGAGGCTAAGCAAGCTGTTAAAGAGCTAGAGAAAGAGGAGATCCTTAGAGGAGACATTTATAGCGCCATGCAAAATTTGCATGAAGCATCAAGTGAGAAAAAAACCTACCAACATCAAGTGAGTAAGCAAGGGGATGTTAAAGCCACAATTCAGCTGCTGCTGGAGCCGACCACCTCTCCAAAATTACAACGCAGAGGAAGCGTTGAAGGAGATGTGAAAACATCCATAAAATCTCTTTATGAAGGCCAAGAGGCGATGAACGTGGAAAAAGAAGAGGTTGTTAAGGGTGATGTTCAAGGGGCAATAAAGTCTCTGATGCAAAGAAAACAGTATTCAAACAAGAAACGAATGCATCATACCAAGAAAGCAAAAGTGCCTATGAAAAATCCATCAAGTGTAAAGCAAGTGGAGCATGAAAGCTCACATGAAGCCATGAGTGAGGATGTTGCACTCACTCCAACTACCACTGTGAAAAACCTCTCTCAGAACAGTGAGTCACAGAGGCACACACAGAGGCACCATGAAAGCAAATCGCTGAAAACGCAGGTAATAACCCAAGAGGACCACTCTGTTGCTGTAGTCAAAACAGACAATTCTGCTGGGGCCTCTCATCAGAAGAGCATAACAGAACAAAAAGACAAAGTGCTGCCCCCACACAAAACACAAGCTCCTAAGCCTATTATGATAAAGAATATGCAGAAGACTATTAATGATCAAACAGAGAATAAAGCTGCGGAAGTGACTACGATGAAAGAAGTGCAAAACATAGCACAGATGAATATTTCAAACAAGCAAATATGTGAGACAAAAACAATCAAACAGGTGCAAACTACAGTGACTGAGAAGACCAGCATGCATAAACAAAATGTAATGGTATCAGAGCAACAATCGCTGAAACAAATGGAGAACAAGGCCATAGGACAAAAGCAGAATTTTAAAAGTTTAAAGGGTGATCACAGAAACCTCGACATCAAAGGGAAAGGAGTCATCAAAAAGTCAAAGCCAGAGATTCACTTCCCTCCTCCCCCCACCTCACCCCCTCCACCCTCAGAGTCTGAGTTCTCCCTGCCTCCACCACCATCACCAGTGACAGAAAACCCAGCAACACCCAGTTCCCGGCCTCACATGATGAGGCAGGACAGCGACCTGCCACCTCCACCCCCTCCACCTCCGGTGGATTGCATTAAGTCTGATGCTGAATTTTTCCCCCCGCCTCCCCCTCCTTCAGCTCTATCGTCTGTTGGAGGACAAGATTTTCTTCCTCCACCTCCATCACAGCAAGAACTCAATGGATTGCCTCAACTTCCCCCGGCAAAGCAATCAAAGCCTGCTGGAAGACCTTTATTTAAAGTTCCCAAGCAACCTGAACCACAGAAACAACCCATTCAAGTTAAACCCAAGTGGCAGAAAAAACAACCAAACCCTCCACCCCCTTCACCTCAGGTTCCTCCCAGTCATGAAACAGCAATGTCAGCTGTCTGTAAAGAAGAAATTAAAGCTCAAGATACAAAACTGGAAGCAGTCCATCAGATGGAAGCAAGGAGCCAGCCTAAAACAGATGCAGTTTCATCAGCAAGAATTTCAAGCATTCCAGTTATAAAACCAGAGCAAAAGCAAAGTCCACAGCCACCCAAAAAGGTGTTTGTCCCTCCTATTAGACTGCCTCCAACTCCAGAGCCTGCTCCAACACAGAAGGACCGGCCATATGCTCGAAAATTTAAAACCCCTTTAATGCTTGCGGAGGAAAGATACCGCCAGCAAAGGCAGGAAAAAGAAGAGGAAGAAAGAGTTAAAGTCTTGACTCCAACTTCCCCACAGATAAAAATGCCACCCTCAGCTACAAGTGCAGAAATCTCTGCATCAGAGAGCACTAAAATGGAAGAGTCTTTGCAAGTAACAAAATCCAAGAATGAGGAAGAACTTAAGGTTCAAGACTCCCCTGCCAAGAAAACCCCCTCCCAAATTCCTCTGAGCAAAGCGTCAATCTCTGTAATAAATAAAAAGCCAGCCCATTTATCCTCAAATGTGTCCTTAGATAAAAAGCAAGTTTCTAGCTCTGAAGCCATTGAAAAGGCCCTTACCTCAGTGGATAACTTTGTGTCTCAGTCTCATCACAAGGCCATAGAAAAACAAATCCAGTCATGCTCAAATGCTGTCTCAGTCACGGAGCAGCAGCAGTTTATTAAGAAATCCAGCAGCATGTCTGTCGCTACCACACAGAGCGCTGTCCGGGATAATGTAAATCTTCAAAGCCAGGCAGCAGTCACATTGAAAACAGACGATGTAAAGAATATTAATGTTCCTCTGCCACAGGAGGGAAAAATTAGTCCCTCTCAGCCAACTAAAATTCCAAAGGTATCTCCAAGTTTCAAAGTGAAGACATTTAAAATGCCAACAGACAAGACAGAGGAGAGGTCTGAATGTTTGGGGCAAAAGGAAATAATGAAAACCGAAACTCATTCACAAAGAGAGAAAAGTCAGGTGTCACAGAGAGTTGAATCAAAGGTGCATTTGGAGAGCAACCAGCTTACCTCAGCAAGAACTGAGATGAAAACAGAAGTGAAAGAGAATAAAAATCAGGTGCCGCCACCCATGAAGGAGTTCGAAGTGAAGGTTCACAAGAAGAAAGCAGGAAAGCAGGCAGGAAAAAATGAGCCTGAAGTAAAGTTGTCACCATCAGTTAGTGTTTCGGCACCTGTGGTGGCTATGGTAACACCTGTGCCAACCCATCAAGGACAAAGCCTGGTGTCAGTCTCCCATAACCAGCAGAGCATGAAGACAGAGCACGTTCAAACACGCAAAGAGGTTGTAGTGTCTGAGACAGTGGTACAGCAGGAACTCAAGAAGAAAGAGGCGGTTCACATGAAACAGCAAACGAAGCTACAATTAACAGATACTGCTAAAATCCAGGGAAAGGCAGGAAAGTCAAAGGATGATTCAAGGGAATTGTTAACTGACAGTGTAAGTAGAATATCTCACAAAGCTGAAGCTCAGCCTAAAGAGATTACAGATTCAGAGAAATGCATTGTGATCCAGAAACTGGTTGCTAGAATAAAAGAAATGGAAGGTGTATCAAGCAAAGTGGATTCTAACTCTGTGAGAGCAGTTATAGACGAAGTTCCTGAATGGGCCATGAGCTCAGATGAGAAAAAGAATATTAGTGAACTTGCTAAACAGCAAAGCAAGAAGAAGCTTAAAGAGATGATGGCTTATGTGAAACATGTCATTCAGACAAAACTCACAGTTTTGGAGAAAAGCTTGACAACTGTAGAAAAGAAAGTGAAAGTTGAAAAAGACAACCCCAACGTTCCTCCAACAGTTCCTTCACCAGTGCCTCCACCTGTGGCTCCAAAGCCAGACATGAAGGTCCTCAGTGGGGCAACTGTGAAGTTGTCAAAGGCTAGCAGTGGTTTGTTCAAAACAGAAAAGAAAATGGTGGAAGAGAAAAAGTCGGTCCAAGAAAGCAGAGTCCATCAGGATCTGAGTGAAATGACCGACTATAGAATGTCTTCCCCCTTAGCAAGCATTCGTACACCGTCACCTACTTTTATCACAATTGAATCAAGGAGAGTGGACTCACCGCTTGGAGTGACACCTTCTCCTCCGCCCTACAAGTCAGTTGGGACACCGCCGCCCCCTCCTCGCAGAACTTACACTCCTACGTCCACTTTCAGCAGAGCCACGCCATCTCCAACCCTTAGCCGCTCCGAAAAGCTCATGAAATTGAGGGATACCACCTCAAAACTTTCACGTGGAATGACGCCACCTCCTCCCATGCCCTTACCAGAGTATTTTACCTCCGAAAGAGAGCGCACATCCTCGCTCAGTGACACCGAGACTGTTGTTGACAGAAGTGAACAAGGAGTGATGGATGTAACGGAGATGGTGGATTCCATGATGACTGTTAGGGACAAAAAGTCTTTCTTTGAGGATGCACAAAAGTCTGAAGTGAACAAGATGTATACCAGAAAGGATCCTATTGACATCCCAGAACGTTTGGGACCTGATACTGAGGACACTCCTGAGGCTGTAACCATAGACCTTCTGAAAGAAGATCTACCAAGAGTTGATTTATCCAAGCTGGTGAACAAATTTGAGTCTCCTCAGCCTAAGATTTACGCAAGGAAGGATCCTATTGTCATTTCAGACAGACTGGGGAGTGATACCGAGGATGCAGAAGCTGAAGTACACACTCCAAGAACTGAAGAAATCCCTACTTTAAACGTCAAAGCAATAAAAGACGTGTTTGAGACGGGAGAGCATGGTTCCCAAGCAGCCCGAGAGCTCAGAGAACAAATAGAACGTCGAGAACCTCAGCCACTGGGGCAAGCTGAAACGACTTCGGTCACTGAGCAGTTCTGCAGTGTTGATGACTTTGGTAACATCACCAGAGAGACGAGGAGTGAAATGCATTCTGGGAGTTTGCTGACTCGCGGGAACCCTCCTTCCTATGCTGATGTGGTGAGGGGTAGAGTCCCAACTGTCTCTGTGCCCGCCGAGGCGTCCACAGAGGAAATGCTTAAAAACTTCCAGCAGTCATGGGCTGAGAGCCAAGGAGTCTTCCAGAACCTGGGTTTTAGTGTCACAGAGCAGAGGACCTCCCAAACTATAACACACCAGCAGGAGACTGTTGTGACGGGTAAACGGAACATCCCAGCATGGGAATACTAAAAAGGCCTGGTGTGTTAAGTTCTTTGAGACATTACTTACACTGAGTGAAAGGAGTTGAAGCATTAACATTTGTCTTAAATACTTTTTTATGGGATTATGTTGTTTGTGTCGCTTGTTTTTTTTCTCCCTTTTCATTGCTCTTAAAATTGGAGCAGCACACAGTTTGGCAACTGACAGTTTCAAAGCTTTTTGTATTCAGCGGTTGCACTCGGTTCTGTTTATTCATGCCTCTGATGTGTGAAGCAGGCATAGTCTGACATATTCAGCTAATAATTCTGCCTCCTCAGTGTGCTATGCTGATTTCTCTGAATGAAAGAGAAGACTGCATGAAGAAAACCATCATTTTTATTCATGTTTTTTTTTATACTGAGCCACTGGCCTTCTGGACATTTTTAAGCAATTAAGAAAATTGGGTGTATATGTGCTATAACTCGGATACTAATATGATTGAATTACTAAAACAGTTGACATAATTACCACCCGTAAAAAAAATTGCTTTACTCTCACAAAATGCTTTTTTTTTTTTCTTTTGATGTTGAATTAATCACTAAAACTGAAATGAGAAATATTCTGGGCAGAGATCATTAATGTTTTGCTTTATCAGTTAATTTTTTTTAATTTTCAGGCCAAATTTTAATAAAAATAATTCACATAGATATGCAAAATATCAAATCCATTTGCTATTTACAGCTAATGTTGGAAATTTCAGATAAAACAAGGTTCAAAAGTAAAAGTTCCAATTTAGTCTGTTGCCAAAATGTAAATAGCCGTTGAACATGTTTTTGTCTGTATTATTTTTGGCTTTTAAGATAGAGAAACACAAAGTACCTCAGTCAGATTAATAAGCATAGAAACTGATGCTTACATACAGACACTCAGGTCCAACCTTCAGCAAGAACAATGACCACCAGTTTTTTAAATTCTCTGACGAAAAGAACAACCTTTAATGTTGCCAAAATCAGCAATAGTCCCTCAGGTACTAAACAGATTATTTAACTTAAATTATCTTTAAGCTATAAAAGATGTGTAAAATAGAAATAAGTTTAAATGTTGCAAGAAAATATGACGATGTTGCTTAAGTTTTATGGTCACAATAGAAGAACTAGTTGTTCTGAAGAAGATAATAGGTCCTTTAAATATTTTTTACCTGCCATCCAGGGCAAAATATAAGCAAAAAAAAAAACACAAACATCCACAACTTTATAAAATAAAGAAGTGGAAATTAAGAGCTTATACAGAAAGTGAATTTTCCCGTCCTCAAGTTGAAGTAAATTGTTAGAAGAAATATTGCTTTTTAAGAAATTCAGTGTCATCTCATGCCACAGAATATCCTCTTAAAGTAGGGTTTTTTTGCAGCAGTATTATAGAAATAATATTTGTCCTGTGTGAAAATTAAAACAATGAAGGAACAATGATATGAAAAACAGTCTCATTGTAATCTGCCATTTTTAAACACCGAATTTTAAACACTGAATTTTTTTTAACTCCGAATTTTAAACACTACATTTTTTTAGACATTGAATTCCTTACACTCAATTTTAATCCGGTAAAAATTCACCAGAAAAAAATTCACCTGCAAAAATTTAGCTGCAAAAAATTCAGCTGCAAAAAAATTCAGCCGCAAAAATTCAGCTGCAAAAAAATTCAGCAGCAAAAAAATTCACCTCCAAAAATTCAGCTGCAAAAATTCAGCTGCAAAAAAATTCAGCCGCAAAAAAATTCACCTCCAAAAATTCAGCTGCAAAAATTCAGCTGCAAAAAAATTCAGCCGCAAAAAAATTCAGCTGCAAAAATTCAGCTGCAAATGTGTTGAACTTTTGGTGAACTTAAGCCAAAGCAATCTACACTTGATCTTGGTTTGATCCGGAAGAAGCGGCCGGCGGCAAACCGGCTGTTGGCCGAAATGAAGAAGAAAAAAAGCTGCTTGACTCTATTGAGTGTAGATTGCTTTGGCTTAAGTTCACCAAAAGGTCAACACATTTGCAGCTAAATTTTTGCAGCTGGTGAATTTTTACTAGATAAAAATTGAGTGTAAGGAATTCAATGTCTAAAAAAAATGTAGTGCTTAAAATTCGGTGTTAAAAAGATTCAGTGTTTAAAATTCGGTGTTAAAAAAAAGGCAGATTCCAATTATTGATCTGAGTGGCTCCAACTGTAGGGAACCTGGCCTACTTTCTGATCAATTCAGCTTATAATTATGTCGACTATTTAGGGGCACTCATAAACATTCCGCCATACATTTCTAGAAAAAGAATAATATGATTGCATAACGACCTAAGTGAAGCAACTATCCATTAAAAGTAAAACATAGTGTTGAAGCCAAGACTACATCAATCAAGGAGTATGGAGACAAGGCCAACACCTTTAGAGGCCAGGACTAAGACCTTGGTCTCGTTGGGGGCTTAACTACAGTACTTGAAAAACACAAGACAAATAAAAGAAAAGGAAAAAACAGAGACACATACTACAGATATGACAGGACTTAGTTCACACCAAGTAGGATGTGTTTTTATTTATTGCTGCAGTGTCACAAAATGAGAGAGCAGTTTAGGGTTTTGGTTTTTCCTTAAAGTGGAATACCCCTTTCAGTTTATAGAACAGTTTTTTCCTGTTCTACCCAGAATATTAATCATGGTTTTCTAAATAATTCATATGTGTGGAAAAATTAATGCTATTATTTTCTTTTCAGAAAATTCGAATTCCAGAGTCCGAGCTGTGCAGGGTGTGTCGGAAGAGGGTGTACCCCATGGAATCTCTGATCGCAGACAAACAAAACTTCCATAAAAGCTGCTTTCGCTGTGAACACTGCAAAGGCAAACTAAGGTGGTGTTAAGTCACATTGCAAAAGATTTTTACAGTATGTTTTTTTTTTTTGTTATGAGTTAACTGTTGTCCTTTTTTTTTTTTTTTATCGTTTTGAAATAGTCTCGGTAACTACGCCTCTCTCCATGGACGAATGTTCTGCAAGCCACATTACAAGCAACTCTTCAAGTCCAAAGGAAATTATGATGAAGGATTTGGACAAAAGCCACACAAAGAACTTTGGAATAATAAAAACCAGAAGAATTCACCAACGAAATCACCAACACCTGAGAAGAAAGCCGTAAATTCCAGATATCCCTCTACGCAGACGACTGTCGGTAAATTAGTAGAGGAAAACAAAAGGCCCGCGAGCAAGATATCAGTGGTTTGGCCTCCGCAGACGGACTCTCCAAAGAAAACCTTCACCGTTGAGGAGGAGTTGAAGTTATTGAAACCTTCATGGCCCCCTTCGGAGGTATCGCATCAAGAAAATTACCTCCCAAATGACCCTACCATACCTCCATTAATTGAGGCTTCTGTTCAAGAACAAAACGGACCCCAGGAAGCTGATAGTGAGTGTTTAAAAGTAGAGTCTACAACATCCTCCTCTGCTGCAGCATCTTTCAAGGAACCTGCACCTAATACTCACACTCATGAGAGAAAGGAATCAAACAGTCTCTCTGATACTATTCAACAAGTGGGCTCAGAAATGCACTCTGAAGTGCAGGTTGGAGTGGAGAAAAAAGAAGAAAGCAAAGAGAATGTCAGCAAAGGCGAGGGAAGCATGGAGGTGCTGGAGGCAAATGAAGAGAAGAGTGCAGAGAAGGTGGAAAGTATGGCTTTTAAAAAGGAGGAACAGGAGGAGGTAGAGAAAGGAAATAATGACATCGTGAGCAACAGGGAGACAGTAAAGGTCACAACAATAGATGAGGACACAGCAGTAAGACAGGAGCAAAATGGAAATTCCAATAATAACAATAATAATGACGGTGATAATAGTCAGAGCTTGTATGACCTGAAACTCCTGGGTCAAAGCTTTAATGAGGACGAGCGGAGTCTTTCTGATTCCCCTCAAGCTAATCCCTGTAACGACCTGGAATGGATACCCAGTGAAGTGCTTCATTTGTTGCAGAGGGACGACGCTTTTGTGCCCTCAGACGCCAAACATACCGAAGCCACAAGCTCCCCATCAGACACGTATTTCCTCACAGGCGTGGGAGAGCTTGCTTTCCAACACACAGCCTCGGAGCAAAAGATTGGCACATCGAGCTTCCTTGAGGATATTTCCGCCGACCCAGGTACAAGCAGCAGCTCTGATTTGCTATCTGATTTCAAATCCGACGTTTTCAGTCCATCTGCCGGGGAGAGTTCAGCAGTGTCTGCGTTAGATGACCTTTTGGATTTCGGGCTAGGAACAAGAGATGAGAGGAGGGAAGATGAAGAGAAAGAGAGCGGCGTTTTCTCTGCTGCTGACCAGAGTGTAGAGAAGCGGGAAAATTGTGTCTGGGCAGAGGAGGAAGAAGGCCTGACAGTGGAGGAGATCATCAAGAGGAACAGATGCTATGATAGCGAGGATAGCTCTTGAATTTGGCCGATTCAGCTAACAATCAGGCATTGCTTGACAATATGTAATTTCCCATCTGTGTCCATGGAGAGACGAGCTGCTCTGAAATTACTGTTTTGTACTGATGTTAAAATGGCTCTTTTATTCATTATCTTGCTTTGTTTGATGCTGACTGAAAGCACCTGGTGTGCACCTTGTACGTTACGTAGTTTCATCAGCTTTCTTTGTGTCTGAATAAAAACTTTCACCTCTTTTCCTTTTTTTTTTGTGTCTTTCTTGTGTTTTAAAATTAAAGTCTCACATTTGACTATGTAACATGAGGCCTAAAGGCTGATTTATACTCAGAAACCAGGTCGTCTGCTTCTGCGTTGCAGAAACATTTTTCGAAAATTTGAGCTTTCAATTCATATAGGGGCATCTGGCTGCTTTTTTTTAAGCTTACTTTATACTTTTATACTTTAAGTAGTTTTTGGATCACATACTTTTTCAGTTTTACTTGAGTAAAGAGGTCAAGTTGATACTTCAACTTTTACCAGAGCGTTTATAAACTGCAGTATCTATACTTCTACCAAAGTGACATGTGTGTACTGTACTTTTGACACCACTGCTGCTTATATAGTGACCAATATTATTGTCATGTTAACAGCTTAAAAAGGAATTTAAAGCCCCAAAGCTGAAGAAACTTCCCACATTCTTTTCTTTCCGCATTAACATCTTTAATAGCGTACACTGCCTTGAAAACTTTATTACCTTTTTTGTAATTTCTCTTCCACAAATAACTAATTCCCATATATTCTGTTTATTTCATGTGACAAACCAGCAGAAATAGATTTAAATAACTATAATAATTTTTTTGTTATTTCGTCATGAAGTCACCCAACTTTAACACCCCAAAATAAAGTTTGGTATAACTACCTTTGTCATTATATTTCAGTATAAAATATGGGTGGCATTTAGCATAACGTGTATTGCTGTCATGATAAATTTATTGTCATAACAATTTTGGATTTATTGCCTAAGCAATAAATTATAATTAGCAATGTTGAAAAAACAAACAAAAAAAATGGATGAGTTTTGAATTTGTATTTTTTAATATTTCTTTCTTCATTTTTTTCATTTGCGGCATTGGCAAATTCAAAGAATATGGACTTAAATTTAGTTATAATCACTTTTATGTTACTGGTGTCTTCAAAAAACCTATTTTAAATAGTTATCTTTTCTTTTTGGAGCATTATTTGTAATTGTGGGGCTATGATTGCTGTGATATGGAGCCAAAGCTAAACAGTTACCTGAGAAGAACTTCAAAGATTAATGTGTGTTTTTGTCAATTTTATCGCTGTGGCGTTAGAACCACAAAATACTGTGATGAGGTTTTAAGTCCTTATTTGTTTTATTTTATGGGTACCTAAATAAAAGGGGCTAAATACAACCTTGCTAGTCAGGTTTTCTTCTATCCATCCATCCATCTTCCTCCGCTTATCCGGGGTCGGGTCGCGGGGGCAGCAGCTTAAGAAGGGAGGCCCAGACTTCCCTCTCCCCAGCCACTTCTTCCAGCTCTTCAGGAGGAACCCCAAGGCGTTCCCAGGCCAGCCGAGAAACATAGTCTCTCCAGCGTGTCCTGGGTCTTCCCCGGGGCCTCCCCCCGGTGGGACGTGCCCGGAACACCTCACCAGGGAGGCGTCCAGGAGGCATCCTAAACAGATGCCCAAGCCACCTCAACTGGCTCCTCTCGACGTGGAGGAGCAGCGGCTCTACTCCGAGTCCCTCCCGGATGACCGAGCTTCTCACCCTATCTCTAAGGGAGAGCCCAGCCACCCTACGGAGGAAACCCATTTCGGCCGCTTGTATCCGCGATCTCGTTCTTTCGGTCATGACCCAGAGTTCATGACCATAGATGAGGGTAGGAACGTAGATCGACCGGTAAATCGAGAGCTTCGCTTTTTGACTCAGCTCTCTCTTCACCACGACGGACCGGTACAGTGCCCGCTTCACGGCAGACGCTGCACCAATCCGCCTGTCGATCTCCCGCTCCCTTCTTCCCTCATTCGTGAACAAGATCCCAAGATACTTAAACTCCTCCACTTGGGGCAGGACACCCCCCCTGACCCGGAGAAGGCACTCTACCCTTTTCCGGCTCAAGACCATGGCCTCGGATTTGGAGGCACTGATCCCCATCCCGGCCGCTTCACACTCGGCTGCGAACCGATCCAGCGAGAGCTGCAGATCACGACTTGATGAAGCCAACAGGACCACATCATCTGCAAAAAGCAGAGACGCAATCCTAAGGCCACCAAAACGGATCCCCTCAACACCTTGGCTGCGCCTAGAAATTCTGTCCATGAAGGTAATGAACAGAATCGGTGACAAAGGGCAGCCCTGGCGGAGTCCAACTCTCACTGGAAACGAGCCCGACTTACTGCCGGCAATGCGGACCAGACTCTGACACCGGTCATGCAGGGACCTGACAGCCCGTATCAAAGGGCCCGGCACCCCGTACTCCCGGAGAACCCCCCACAGGGCCCCCCGAGGGACACGGTCGAACGCCTTCTCCAAGTCCACAAAGCACATGTAGACTGGTTGGGCGAACTCCCATGCACACTCCAGGACCCTGCTGAGGTTGTAGAGCTGGTCCAGCGTTCCATTTCTTCTAGAAATTTAGAATTCAATGTGCTTTTTCCCGTTTGATTTTAAAGCTTTACACTACTCTTGAAGCCAGAAATCTGTAATAAAGAAATAAAATTTTGGTGAAATTAAAGATTTCTCCACTGCTTCGAAGCACCGATCTTAATCCAACAAAACACAAAACAAAAAATAATAATAATAATCTCCATGTTTTAATTGGCCACTAATTGATAGGTGTTATCTTCTGCCTTTAAAGGTGCAGCGTGTATACACCACTGCCATCTAGTGGTTAAGTTGGAGACAACCTATTCAAACAGCAATGCTCCTGCTTGGAAAAAACAACAAATTTGAATCTACTGATTAGTTAACTTACATGCCAAGATATAAAACAGTCAGCATGGACTCTACAGCTGCTATGGTCAACTCAGATTAACCTAATTTTTTCATCATTTTACTAGTTTGACCTGTTTTTAATCCCTTATTTACTTAATGAAGATCTCATCATGCATCTAATTTTGTCATATTTTTGATTACCAACATTACTTTCCTCTAGATAGTCAGATTATGTAGATTATTTTTAATTTTAGGATACTATAAATGTTTTATATATTTATTAGAACATAACTCATGTAATGCAGCAGTATTTCTCCTCATGGATCAGTGCTACTGTAGCTTTAAATGTTTCTTTCCCCACCTTGAGAAATCAGTCCACCTGAGGTCTCTGGAAAGCGACGTATTGATTTCTGTGATAACAGCCTGCTGTACTACTTACAGATTTTCCCATTAGGTGGCCTTTGTCAGCCCTTACAGATTTTTCCACTCCTCTCAGTTACAGGTTTAACACATGAGGTAATTGGTTGCGAAGACAACATACGCCTGTGTTAATTACAGCCAAGAGAGCCACGGAAGTGATGATTTCACAACTTTTGCAGGAGTCATGCAGATTTCTCCTCCGTTCCCAGCTGAACAACTCAGCATCCTGTTCTGATTTGCTGCTTGGCATCTTTTTAATTGGACCTTTTTTCCAATAATAATCACCTCAGTAGTCAAAGATTCTGGGGAAGGGGGGGTGAAATCTTT